GAGGGATGCTGAGGGCCGGCCTGGGTGGTGGATGGACACAAGGACCTGCAGACCAAACTGCCAGACTTTACAACCTCCAGCCTTTGTCTCTGGACTGGAATGGGGCTGGGGGCTTTCCCAGCATCTCACCACCTGGAGGCTGCTTCCTGCCCACGGGGCTCCTGGGTGGCCCCTGGGCCTCTTGACTTGAGATTCTACCTTCTTGGCCTTCTCCCCACCCCCCATCATTGTGCTGTCTCTGTTGCATCCTGACCTTCCTGCTGGGAGGGGTTGCTGCCACACCTCCTCCCATCCTGTCCCTCCTCCCAGAGGGATAGAGTCCACCCCAGAGCCTGGAGGCTGGGCCCGGCCCTGCACTGATTTCTCGTGTATTCTTCAGGAAAAGGGGAGAGTCCAGGATATCTGGTCCCCAGCTCACCCTTTCCTGGGGCAGCAGCCCTCAATTTCTCCTTGTGCCTCCCTTCCCCCAGGTGCCAAATAGCCATAACCTCCTCCTGGAACTGTTCTGCGTCCTCTCTGGGGTCCTGGTTTCCTGGCCAAGCCTGGGAATGCCAGGGAGAGAGGAGGTCAGCTTGGGGGGCCTGGCTGCAGCAACCCCTGTCTTAGGCAAGGGGGACATTTCTCACTGGAGAGCCAGGCAGTGTCCTGCCCTGTCCTGCCCTGCCCTGCCCAGGGCCACACCTGGAAGCCTTGTACTAACATCGCAGAGACTCAGCCTCACCCCACCCACACCCACACTGTTTCCAATGTTTTGACTGGAGGGCAAAATTTTACTACTCATCTTTTTGGAGACCAGGGCTCCCCTGCTGGCAGCCTGCTTCCTAAGTGAAATCGACTCCGCTTCCTCACTTTAACCCCAAATTGGGGCTTGGACCAATTGGAGGTGAGACCCTCCCCAGGTCCCCTCCCCTTTCAGAATCCATCTCTCATTTTGCCTCTTTCTCATGCCCCTGCCCCAGACTGGGTTTTTGTTCATTTTTTAACAACAGACAACCCCCATCCCATCCGTTTTGGCCTCTCGTCCCCTGTAAATAGACCACACCATAAATCAGTATTTCTCGGTCCTCTTTCCTGCCCCCAGACGTGCCCCGCCCCTGAAGAGCTGGCTGTCACAGCGCGGGGCCCACGCGCTTAGCCTCCTGCGCCCCGGCAGATGGAGGGGGCGGGGCCGCGGGGCGCTTCCGGTCTCTCGGCCGGCGGCCGCCCCGCCCCGTCCTCCGCTGGACCGCGTCTCTGTATATAATATATATATGTATGTATTGTTCCCGGTTTTGTACGGACCATGCCCTCTGTCAGGTCGTCCCCATAAAAGCAGCCCCCAGAGCCTCGCTGCCCTGTTTCTTGATTCGCGGGCGAGGGGAGGTGGGGGAGGGGCAGAGATGCCAATCTGAGCCCCGGGGTCTCCTTCCACCAGTGCTGCCTGTGACCCTGAGGAGCTTTCAACAGGGTTCTCAGTTCCCGGTTCCAGCAGTCTCCCTCTCTGCCACCGTAACTCCCATCAGCACCCATGCTCGCTTACCCGGTCCTCCTGGGCAGGGCTGGGAGTTTAGAGAGTTCCTTTGGCCCATCACATTTCTCTGTTTTTCGAGGCCTTTGATGGAATTCAGAGGATGGGTTAACTATGGTCAGGTGAACCTCAAGTCCCTCCCCTGAGAAGCCCTGTAACCTGATGGGGATACCCAGCCCCTACTCTCACAAGGCACCCTGTACGAGGTACAGAAAGGATCAAAGGTTTCCTGGAGGTGGCAGCTGGGGTAGGAGGTGTCATGTCTGAGCAGTTTTGTCCCCAGGGTCCTAGAGAATCTGTTCTGTTCTAGAGAATCCCTCTGGGGGTGGCCCAAGAGGCCTTAAATGGTCCTAGCCCTCTGCTTTGTGCCAGCATGTCTGGCTGCAAACTCAGCTCTAATACAAATGGGTTTGGGGGTCCAGACGCGTGGGTTCCAGGGACAAGCTTTGGTGAAGTCCCAGAGAGAGGTGAGAGGGGGTTGGGGGAGTGGGCCGGGGGCTTGTGGCCATCCCCAGCAGCAGCCTTTAATTGCTTTGGGTGCTGCTGTGCGTACCTGTGAGAGAACTGAAGCACGAGACACTTGTGTTCATTGGCCTGGCGCCAAAGGGATTTTCATCTTCCCCTTTGCCTTTTGCCCTAAGGAATGGAAGTCCCAACATCAGGGCCTTTAAGGTCACCGTGGTGGGTCCCTGACAACACCTGAGATGAGTGGCCTCTACCGGAACTCCAGTGGCAGTCAGCTCCTGGGCCAGCCCCTCCCTTGTGGATGGCTATGTCAGTCTCATTCCTGTCGAGCCAAATTCTGGCTTCCCATAGCTTCCCCTCAAAAATCCTACTTATACACCTCAGGGCCACGTAGGACCCGTCCAGTCCTGCTACCCACCTGAGGGTCACCTGGAAACCTGGGTGGTCATGGATGGTGACCATGACTCTCAAGGCATCTTCTCCAAGTGGATCATCCTTGGGACACTTCTAGGAAGACAGATCCAGGTGGCTGAATCCCAAGATCAGAAACCACCAAACCACAAGGTCACAGGTCATGGCTCCAGAGTCAGAGGTCACTGAGGTCCTGCTCAGGAAAGCTAACCAAGAAGTCCCAAGAAGTGAAGTGGCTGGACTTTTCTGGGTGGGGAGGCAGACATGGGGGTTGTGTTGAGGGCTTCTGCTGGTCTGACTGGGGCTAAGCATCCAGGGCGGGGTCCTGCCAACCCCCTCTGTCCTGTGCATTAGGTGAGGGGCCTGCACATTGTATGTTCCAAAAGGTGGGCCAAGTAGCCACCCAGGTCTAAGCTGGAGTGTATTGAGGGGTATCGCAACTTTGCTTCGAGTTTCTGAAGCATGAGATGTGATTCAGCCATGGGATATGTCCATGTTTGGGGCGGTGTCAAGTGGCTATGAGCAGGCCTGTGTGAGGCTTGTCACCTCAGCCCCACCCTGTCACCTGCCCAGTTCTTAGGAGCTTGAGTGGATTTGCCACAATCCCCACATTTGCTATAGGGAAGGAAAACCAGATGAGGGTTTTTTTCCAACTCCCAGAGCTTAAGCATCGCTAGGAACAGGGGTCCTCTCAGGTCCCATGGCCTAGCAGACACCCTCCCACAGAACCTGCCCCCCAGCCCTGACATGATGTATACCCATCATCTCCCCACTCCCTCCTGTGCTATATAATCAATCCCCCCATTCCAGCCTACTACCCAGATCTCACCAGATGCCTGCAAACCACATCCTCTTTAAAGACCCCAGACACAGTCCTGATAGGCTGTCACCCAGAGACACAACCCCTCTCCAGACCCCCACAGTCTAGCCAGTACCCCATGGCTGCCAGCAGATTCTGAAGATACCCAGAGACCCCCAAACTCCCACAGATCTCCTTGTATACCTTCTGCCCCCAAAGATTATTAATTCTGTCCTCACTCACAATCCCAAGACCATCCTGGCTCAACATGCCACCTCCCACAGAGACCTGGGACCACAGAGACTCGGGCAGGCCATCAGGGAACTCCATCCCTACAGATTGCACACCTCTCCCCTATCCAACCCCCTAATTCTGGACCCCCTAATCCAACCTCACCACTTGCTCTTGAACAAACCACTCATTCTTCTAAGTCTCCATTTTCCTGCCTTAAAATAGGGGTAATAGAAACACCTACCTCTTGGGTTTATTGTGAGGGTGACTAATAATCTGAGAAAAGTGCTCAATACAGTGCCTGGCACCTCCTAAGCCATCACAGTATGGTAGCTAGTTGTTATTACGTTATCCCCCAGCTGGCCTGCTACCACCTCCAGCTCACCAGGTCCAAGTCTGATCTCACTGTCCCCCCATCCCCATCCCTGCCTGCTCCACCTCCAGGGCTCCTGGCCCCAAGCCAAGACCTGGGGCATCCTAGCCCTCTTCTTCTCCCTCAGTGTCCAGCCAGTCCCCAGATCCTGTTGATTTCTTCAGTTCCACATCCTGAATAGTTCTCAACTTGATCTTCATGCCCACTGCCAACATCTCTCCACAGCCTCATGAGAGGTCTCCCTGCCTTCAGGCTGCCCTCTCCAGTCCATTCTCCACTGAGGAGCCAAGGGGTTCTTCCTAAAATGCAATTCTGAGCCCCTCCCTCCTCTGTTACTTTTCCCCTATGGCTCTTAGTATGAAATGCAAGCCCTCCCTCCACCCCTGCACCTGGGCAGCCTCACTCATCTTGCTCTCTTGCCCATGCCCTCACCCTAGCCCCACTAGTGCTTCTACCCCACCCTGGCCTGCATGAGTAGCCAACACATCACCTCCTCCAGGAATCCTCTCGGATCGCCCCCACCTCCCCTCATTCCGCCCCTAGGCGGCAGGCGGGTGCCCTCCTGCGCTCTCTCCCCGCGCTGAAGTGTCCTCTGTGAACCAGGGCTCACGGCACTCAGGCTTGTGAGGGCCTCTCCCCTCGTCTGTCCCCCGGACAGCGACGCGATTCCCGATGGCGTGGACCAGGTGGGTTCTGTTCCCCGCGGCCCCCTCGGGCCTCGGTGCACTCGACGGCTCGGTGGACGTCTGTGGAATGGATGAATCGGGAGCCTTCACAGACCTTGCAGAGGAGGCGGAAGCCCCGGGGGTCCTAAGGCGGGGCCGCCTCCCCGGCTGCTCCCACCCGCCTCGACTCCCGCGGGGCCGAGAAGTAGCGGGAACTCAGAATCCCCTCGCCCGGCAGCGGCGCGGGGCACCTCCTCCCTCCTCGGTGCTCCTACAGCCTCCGTCCCCTCCCTCCCTCTCGCTCTTTGTCTCCCCGGCGCCTGGACCTCCCCGCCACGCGCCCCCCGCATCGCCCCTCTCGGGGGCCCCCTGCGGGCCCCCGCGGACGCGACGCCAAGCATATTGGCCTGCCTGGAGGGGGCCCCGCGTTCTCCGGGCCTGCGGGCGGGGCGGGGAGAAGGTGGTGTTCTCTCTCTCTCTCCTCCTCCCTCTCTCTCTCTCTCTCTCTCTCTCTCTCACACAAACACACACACTCTCTCTCTCACACATACTCTCTCTCTCACACACACACACATACACGCACACACACACATACACGCGCGCGCGCGCACGCACGGAGCATCCTCCCGTCAGGTCTCCTGGTCCAGCCCCGCCCGCGCCTCCTGCTTCCTGCAAACCTTCTTCTCTCCCCACTCTCCCCCCGCACCATTCCCTCCGGCTCCAGGGCCCTCCTCGCCGACCCCCATCTCCCCTCCCGGGATGGAGCAGATCAAGCCAGCCTGGAGCCCCCCGCGGCCGGGGTGACGGTCCCCCGCCCCTCTCCCGCCTGGCCCCAGCCCCGAGCACCATGGGCCTGAGGGGTTCCCGAGGCGCCGGACGCTGAAGATGACTGATGCTGGAGGTGAGCGGCCGAGACCCCAAGGACCCTGAGGTGGATGGGGAAGCGGAGCTGAGGGTCACTAGGGCTCGCGGTGGGACCCCGCGTGGGGTTGGATGGGACGAAGCCGACGAGGGCCTTTCTTCCCCTATCCCTAGGGGGGCCGCACGGAGCTAGGACGCTGGGCTGTCAGGGGAGGGGGCGGAGATAGGATTGTGTCCCTAATCCTCTCCCTCCTGCCCGCCGCCAGGAGAAATTAATTTAAAAAAACTGCTGTGGGGGGAGGGGGAGAGGACTTAACTCCTTCTTGCCCGGTGCAGAGTTGGATCGATGGATTGGAGAAAAACTAGCCACCCGGCTCTGACTGGGGATAGGGGCCCTGGGAGTGCAGTAGGTACCCTGTCCTCCCCCCCACGCACATCTCCAGTGGAGCCTGGAGGGGGGGGGTCCGACTCTTCCCGGATGCCCCAAGCCTGGGCCTTATGGGAGGGGGCGCTGTTTTCTCTAGCTCCACAACTGCCTCCCCCACCTGCAGCCTCCTCTCCCATCCATTCCTTCCTGGCCTTTCCCAGTTGCATTTCTCTCTTGGGCTCTTTCTCCTCTTCCAGGGCCCCTTTCCTCTTGCCTGCCCCGCTGGGGGCCGCCCCTCTCCCCACAGCCGATTCTCCTTCTCTCCTCACACCCCTGCTTTGGGCCTCACTCAGGGCCGCTGGAGTCCTGTCCCCACGACTGCTTTCTCTGGCCCCACTCTCTGTCTCATCTCTTTCTTGCTCTTTCTTCCTTCTCTCTGCAGCTCTGTGGACTGACTCTCCATCAACCTGTCTGTCTCTTCCTACTCCCCACTCCCTCTCCAGGACTTGTGCATTCTTTCTTTCTCTTTCTCCTTCCCCTGGGTCCCAGGAAGCTTTGAGCTCACCTGCTTCCCTTTCTCCCATCTCCCAGAGAATGGTCAAAGGTCATTGGTACTCTGGTCTGGGACTTGGAAGCTTTGGGAGGAAGGAGTGGCCTGGTAGAGTCAGAGCCCAGACTGTGTCCAGAGGAACAGGTTCATTTCCACCTTGTGGCAGTTACCTGGTTGAATGTGCATGAATGTGTGTGTGCGTGTGTGTGTGTGTGTGTGTGTGTGTGTGTGTAGGAGTGTAAATGGTGGAGGGGATTCGGTGTGTAATTTTCCAAGACTCAGTTTTGGAGGGAGGGGTTTGGGTGGGAGGGACCTGGTGACCTCCTAGATGATCTGCTTCCCAGAGTTCCCCATCGGGCAGTGTAGGGAGGATTCCCCCATACACACCCCAGGGACTTCGTTGTGGAAGGAAGGAAAAGAAAGCAGCTTGTGCTGAATCAGGATGAACTGGGCGCTAGTGGGAGCTGGAAGCCCCAGCCCATCCCAGAGGGAGCCTGAAAGAGGACTCCATCCACAAGAGGGTCTCCACCCTGGACTGGGACCTTGAATAAAGAATGCATGGGATCTCCATTCTCAGATAGTCTAAGAGAGGAGGCACCTCCACTGTCCTCAGAGAACCTCCATTCTGATGGGAGAGGCAGTCCTTATCTTCAGTCTGATGGGGAGTACTGTCCCCTCTCCTCAGGGAGCTCCCATCTGATGTGGGGGAGATGTGGCCCAGTTAGGGAATCAATGAAGTATGAAAAATCCCTTGTTTCCCAGTGGTTGGGGAGGGGTTGATTTAGAAATTATGAGGACAAATGGGAGGAGAGAGGACTATCTAGGACAGCTTTCTGGAGGAGGTGGCAGCTGGGTCCTGGTCCGATGAGGCTTTGTGATTGAATGAAGGAATTCCATTCATTCTTAGGGGTGGCCTCCTTTCCCATTTGGCCCTCTGGGACAGGAAGAGAGGTTCTAGAACTTCTTTGCTACTAGCACCCAGAGTTCAAGAATGGCAGGAGGGTTCTCGAGGGCCCATATCCCTGGCCCCTTCTCACACCTCATGTCCTGCTCTCAGTCCCAAGCATCCGTGGAACCTGGGGTGGAGGTGGTTTTGAAGCTTCTCCAGTCCTAGCCAGTATGGACCAGTTCGCCTCCCTCTACCCTTTCCTCAGGAGCACCCTACAAAACTGCAGATCATTACCCAGGGTAGGGCTGAGGGGCAGGAGACTGGTCAAGGTTGAGTTCTGCCTCTTATCTCCTGCATCAGTTTTCCATCTGTAAAGCGGGGACCCTAAGAATCCCAAGCCTGGCCAGCTCACAGTGAGATGATGTCTCTGTAGTAACAGAATAAAAGAGCTGGAAAAGACTCCAGCAGGGAAAAAAAAAATCCCTAGCTTTCCTACACCTGTCAAACGTATGGTCTAGCCCAGTGCCCTGCCCTTCTCATGGGGACCTGAGTGTTAGAAGTAACTGGAGATCGTGTCCCAGCCATGAAGTATGCACCTGCCCCTGAGCTTCCTCCCTCTGCCCTTATCCAGTATTCCCCTGTCCCTCTAATGCCCAGGCCTTGGTTTAGGGCTGCTGCTATCCTACATCTGCTAGGAAGCCTGCCCCCATTGTTTCAGGCACATATATCCTGAATATATAACCTGCCCTACCTTCTTGCTTCCCACAAAACCAAACCAAACCAAACTCTACCCATCCACACTTCTTCCCAGAACATACTTGACGCATCATAGAGATCTGGCTGTCCACTGTTCTGCTGAGTACTCCTCATACCCTCCTGCATCTGTGAGTCTGTCTAGAACTGTGAGAACTGTGAGTTTGTCAAGAACAGCGGCCCTGCTGATGGTGCCAGCTTCCTGAACAGCTCATGTTCAGGAAGACAGGTGGTGAGCGCAACCATGATGGGGTGTGGGGGAAGCAGGACTGGGTGATGGATGGGAAGATGGATGGGTCGATGGATGGGGGTGGATGTTGGATGTATGGGTGAATAAATGAATGGATGGATGGGCAAGTAAGTGGGTGGGGAAGTAGGGAGGGAGGTAGGTGGATGGATGGAAGAACCTGGGTTCTGGTCCTGATTTTGCCATTAACTTGTTATGTGATCTTAGACCAGTCATTCTCCCCTCTGTTTCTTTATTTGTAGAATGAGATCATTGAATTTAATAATCTCCAAGATTTCTCCCAGATTTGATGTTGGACAATTTATGATGATTAAAGTTTTTAGGGAATGCTCATGATGGAAAGGCCCAAGACAGTGAAGGGGAGAAGTTCAGTGACCCGTGTGGAGGCAGATCAGCTCAGACCAAGACTGCGTGACTCAGCCTGGGTCTGCACCCTGGATGTGCTTCTGCCTCTGCCCTTCTGCTCCTGCCTCCTGCCCCAACCCCGGCAATGTGGGGTCTGGTTCAGATGACTTCTCTTTCAGGGGGCCAGAGGAAGAGTTGTAAGGGAAGGTGAGGGGCCAGAAGGCCAGGAGCAGGTAGCCATTGGCAGCTCCCCTGCCTCCACCAACCTGAACCTTTAATCCATGGTCTTTTTTCCTCTCCTCACTTGTCGTCCCCAGCTCTCTTGAGCCATGGCTTCTTCAAAGCTCCGAGAACCCGCGGATGAGGTTTTTGGTAAGTTCTGTTTAGCTCTATCTCTAGCCAAGGCCACTTGGCATTGGGGGGTGGGGGGTGTTCCTTGGGGACTTGTGTGTGTGTGTGTGTGTGTGTGTGTGTTGTGACCTTACAGCATGATTCTTTGTCACTACTATCTGAGTGGACATGCCAATTACAACAATAATAATAAGGGTCCCCACTTATTAAGTGTTTGTCTCATGCCACGTCCTCGGCTAGCACCCCCATCTCACATGCACGGTATCATTTAATCCTCGCAATAATGCTAAGAAGTGTGCCCACTTTACAGACAAGGAGCCTAGGGCACAGAGTGGTGAAGTGACTTGCTTTAAAGATCACACGGCAGGTTGGTGGCAGACCTGGGACTAGAGCGCCAGACTGCCTAACTCCCTGCTCTCAGTCACTATGCCACACACCTGTGTCCCCCAGCACAGGTGACACACATTACCTCCAAGTCACATAAATAAGGATGGAGGTGCACGGAAATCAAATGTATAACACACTCAGCCTCAGTACTCCCAGGCTGGACCCCTGTGGACACACTGGGGTGCAGGTACACACTGGGGTGCATGCACACACCACCTGCACCATTATTTACCCCCTGCAATCTTTCTGTTGCGTGAATTGGAGAAAGACTACCCCACCCAACAGGGTAGAGCTCCCAGCATGCATTGGGTGGAAAGGCTATTTCCCAGCTGGACTCGGTGGAGGAATCAGTGAGCAAAGGCCGTGGAGGAACACGGAGCCAGAGGTAGAGAAAGAGAGAAGCCGGCTGAGGCCTGTCACATGTGCGCAGCCTTCAGGGCTCTCACATTTGTGTGTATAGCCTTGAGGGGCTCCCAGTTTCTACTCCTTGCCTCCTCCTCATCTCTACCTTCCCTCCCCTCTCCTCCTCCCCCTCCCCTGCTCACCTCATTCTCCCCTGCCCCCCCTCATGCCCTGATAATGCCAGGAACCGCTTCCTGCCCTGGCATCCCTGGTGTGGAGTGGAGGGTTTGCCTCCAGGATGTCCCCCCACCCCTCACCCCAAACTGCCTCTGGGCCTCAGACCCTGGGCATTTCCATCTCCACCCAGGTGGCCTGACCCCTGGCCTGACAGATGAGCTCCCCCTTCCCTGGGCTTCTCAGCCTCCACTCCCCCACCCTTCCTGTTTTCCTTCCCCCAGACCTGCTGAGGTAGCTGGCTGCCTTGCCTGCTTCCTGATGCAAAAGGCAATTAAATATTCATGACTTCCCACTGCCCTGGGCTGGGCAAACTCCCGCTGGGGGGTAGAGAGAGAGGGAGAAAGGGAGAAGGGCAGAGAGAGAGATCCCTGGAGGGAGGGATGGAAGGAGGTGAGGGGGCATGGTAGAGCAAGAGATCAGAGAAGAGGCTGGCCCCACCTTGTCTTAAAAATCCACAAGCCCCTTAGAGGGGCCCCTTTGCTACCTAGAACCTCCAAGGTAAGATGACCATGGTCTTGATGTGGCCCAGAGTCAGGAGTAAAGGGCCTTTCTCCCTGGCCCAGGGTGGCTGGGCACCAGCTGAGTGCCAGAGGGGGAGAGGATGCTCATCAGCTACCCTGCTCCCCCAGCAGCAAGAGCACTGGCCTGGGAGCTGGGAGGCCTGGATGTTGTCTTAACTCCCTCTGTTCTCTGGGCCAAACCTTTCTGAGCCTCAGTTTCCCCACCTGTAAAATGAAGGGTGGACTCACAAGTCGCTCCCATCTCTGCCTCAGAGGAAGTATAGTGGGCTTGGTAGGTACAAATTGAGCCTCCGGAGCCAGACTGCCTGTAACCCTGGCCTGCTCTTCACCAGCCATATGCCCTCAAGCAAATTAAGGCTGCCCTGGGGATTCCTGGAGTCTTCCTCCAGCGTTGTAGGGAGGTTTAAATGTTCTAGGCACTTAGAACAGTGCCTAGAACAGTGAGAGCTCAGTAAGGATGAGCTATTATTATTCTGTGGTTCAGTCCCCAATCCTTGCCGCTTCCAGGCAGTGCCTGGAGATTCTGTGTCTGGGAGCAGGGGACAGAGGGCTCCCTCCCCCGGCTCAGCCCCAGGGCCTGCAAACACCAGAAGTGAAGCAGCGGCAGCTCGGGGACCAGAGCAGTGGTGTGGAGCCAGGGGCCAAGACAGCAGTCCTCTGACAGGCCCTCTCCCCTTCCAAGCCACCGCTAGAGGTCCCTGGACGACTACAGCAGCCTCTCCGAGTCCACTGGCCCCCTCCAGCAGGGCCAGCCCCCTCTCCTTGCCGGCTGCACTGCGCATGGGGATCCTCAGACACTCCAAGCCCAAGGCCTCACCATCTCCTCTCCTTAGAAGGGGAGATTGTTCTTTCTACAACCTTGGCTCTTCACTGCCACCCAGACCTCAGCCTGGCCACCTCATCTAAAGCAGTAGCCCCCGGTCACTCCCTATCTCTTTTATCCATTCCACAATATTCCTGAGCTCCAGCTCTGTGCCGGGCTTTGTTCTAGACCCTGGGGAGACAGCACAGAACAGGCCAGATACAGTCACTGTCTTCATGGAGCTTGACTTCCAGTGCAGAGGGATGGATCTTAAAGCACACATAACTAAAGAAGGAACATATCAGATGGTGAGGAGAGCCATGAGAGAATTAAAATGTGGGATGTGATGGAATGGGGGCATCAGCACCGCGTGTGTCTCGAGTCCATCTCTATGCACTGGTCCTTCAATTCGTCAAACATGACTGAGCACCTCCTCTCTGCCAGGCCCTGCACCAGGCTCTCGTGGAACACAGTGCACAGTGCAGGGCTTCACCCTCTGCCGTGTGCAGACCCGCATGGGACATGCATTCCTGACCAGATCATAGTGCCGAGGCTGAAGAGGTGCGGCTGTCCAGAGTGCGGGGAGGTGATGTACTGGAGCTGACAGCCAGACAAAGGAGGGGTGGGGAGTGATGGAGCAGAGAGAGCAGCATGGGCACAGGGCGGGAGGAGGGCAACAAGGGTGCAGGCGGGTCTCCAGGTATCCAGGTATCAGTACCTGCGGGTTAGTACTGTTCCCACTGACACACCAACAGCAGTGCTTGTGAGCACGTATAAGTCTCAGGCGTTATGGTGAAGCACTTTGTATGCATGATCTTATTTAGTGCTCACGACAACCCTATAAGGAAGATACTGCTAATATGACCCCATTTTACAGATGAGGAAGCCGATACCTAAATGTAAGTAACTTGTCCAGGGCCAGCCAGCCAGCCAGGCGGTGGCAGATCTGGATTCAGCCCGCCCAGGCCATCGGGCTCCAGGGCCTATGCTCCTAACCACGGTGCTGTATAAGAGCATGCTGTGCTGTGCTGTGTGGAGGATGGAATGTGGGAACACAGGAGGGGTGGGCTGGGCCCCTCAGGCCTTGAATGGAGGGCTGAGGGGCATGGACTTTATGTTGTTGGCTTTGGGACCCCCTCCCCCGCCACCGGGTTTCAAAAACTGGAGTGTATGGGCCACAGTCAGAAGTGTGATTTATCAAGTTTCTTCCAGCTTGTGCAGAGTGAGGAGGAAGGCAGACTCCAGGCAGGGAGCTGAGCATGGATGGATACTGAGGCCATGCTCTGGGATGGCGTGGCGGGGGAGTGGGCAGCTAGTGAAGGCCTGAGCTAAGGCAGTTCAGTCCCGACCAAGAGGAGAGGCCAGGTCCCAGGGGGTGAGGAAGCCAGGTCAACAGAACTGTGTTCTTTCATTAAAATAATATTTACTAAGCACCTACTATGTGCCAGGCACCATGCGATGCCTGTGTGAGCACAGTGAACAGAATAGAGAAACATCTGCCCTTGAGGAGCTGACATTCTAATGGGTGGAGACAGACAGTAAACTAAATAAGTAGAATACGTAGTATGCCAGAGAATGATAAATGATACAGGAAATAAGTAGGGGTGGGGCTCAGGGGGTATGACAAATTGGGTGTTGGGGAGGGTCTCAGTGAGAGAAAGCACTTAACCAAAGACCTGAAGGAGGTGAGGGAGAGAACCATGCAGAAATCTGTGGCAAGTGCTTTGCGGGAAAAGGGAAGAGGGAGTGCAAAGGCCCTGCGGTGCAGGCTAGGCTTGTGTGAGGAAGAGCCAGGAGAGAGAGAGACAGAGAAGTAGAAGCTCAGTGGTAGGGGGAGCACAGACTGAGCCTGGAAGGCCACTGGGGGAACTCTGGCTCTCTTCTGTGTGGGATGGAAGTCACTGGAGGGCTCTGAGCAGAGGAGTGACAGGAGCTGACACATTTTATCAGGATCACTCTGGCTGCTGTGTTGAAAATAGACTGTAAATGGGAAAGGGGGGAGGAGGGAAGACCAGCTGGGAGGCTTTTGTAATAATCGAGGCAAGAGGTGATGGTGATGGTGACCTAGACCCGGAGGCTGTGAGTTCTCCCTCTCCTCCCCTCCCCTGCCTTCCATCCTCGCTCCTCCCCTTCCTTCCTCTCCTCTCCTGCCTTACTCTTCTGCTCTCTCTCCTTTCTCTCCGTATGTAGGCATGTGTGTGTGTGTGTGTGTACACAGACATTTATAAACAATATTTTATTGTGGGAAATCAAAAGTAGAGGGAATAGCACAATGTTCTCCATCACGTGCTCATGTACTCATCACTCAGCCTCAACCATCAACTCATGGCCAGCCTTGTTTCACCTCTACCCCCTCGACTCTCCACTCCTATTCCCCTGGATTATTTTGAACCTAATCCAAAACATCGTATCATTTCCCCATAAATATTTCAGTACGTCTAGATACATTTCGAAAGTAGAGCTAACAGGAATTGTGGATGGATCGGTTTGTAGGGTGGGAGGGAAAGAGAGGAGTCAGGGCTGACTCCCGGGGTCTGTCCTGAGCAGCTGGAGGGATGGAGCTGCCATTCACCAAGGTGGGCAGACTGGAGGAGCAGCCTGGGGGGCCGGGAGGTCAGGAGGCCAGTTTGACACCTATGTTGAAGATGCCCATTGGACATCCAAGTGGAGGTGTCAAGTAGGCAGCTGGACATGTGAATTACCAACTGGGTCTGGGGCTCAGGAGGAAGGGCAGCTCGGAGCTGTCTGAACGGGGTGACCGGGTGGATGATGGGGCCTTTCACTGAGCCAGGGAACAGAGGAGAAGCCAGTTTGAGGCAAGGTGGTGGGTTCGTTTTGGTGGGTTGAGTTTGAGTGCCTTTGACATGGCAAGTTCCCTGGCAGGTGCTGAGGTGGCCGGGCTGGGACTTCAGGGGAGGGGTCAGGGCTGGAAATAGACATAGGTGGTGGTTAAGCCAGGAGAGCCACTGGGGTGGCTTAAGGGGTGTCTGCAGATAAGAGAAAGAGGAGCAGGTGATGGGGGTCCCTGAGATCATGGGGGGTGGAGGGGGGAAGAGAGGTCTTAACCCATCCTGAGGTCTGGGAGGAACCTGTTCTGCCTGGAGACCCCTGTGCCAAGCCCTGGGGATGCTGCAGAGTGAGGGCTGCATTCTCAGGTGGAGTGAATGAAAAGTGAAACTAGGAGCAACAGGTTTTATGCAGGATGCGCTGGGTTTGCCTGCTTTTCCTCCATGTCCTCATCCGGGACCTAGCCCTGTGCCAGGACAGGAGAGACAGGTTTCAGGGGACTGTGGGCTTTCCTCCCTGCTGCTGCCACCGGCTTGTGGGGGATCCTTCTGCTCCAGTTCAACTGCGAGCCCTCTAGATGCTCAGCAGTGCTCTCTCTGAGTGCAGCACTGAGCATGGCACAGCAAGTCCCCAGCAGGGCCAGTCTCTGGAGCCAGACTAGCCAGGCTCAAATCCCGGACCATTGCTGGCTGGTGGCTTCAGTCGAGAGACTTAACCTCTCTGAGCCTCAATTTGCTCAGCTGTAAAATGTGCATAATAGCTGTCCCTAGCCTGCTGGTTTGTTCTGAGTAGATGAGGTAATGTATGTACATTCTGGCGCATAGTAGGCACTTCTTCGGTGGTAGCCATTATCACCACCATCTCTCCAGCCTCATCCCCCACCGCCACCTCCCCAAACCTACCCTCCAATTGCCCTGGAGGTGCTCCACACCCCTCATCCCCCCCACCCCCGCATTGCATAAACCAGCTTGTAAACTCCCACTGAGACCCTAAGACCCAGCTTTGGTGCTTCCTCCACCAACCCATCCAAACAGGGCCGTCCAGTCCTCCTCTGTGCCTGGGAGAGGTTCCATCACACTGCTGTATTCACGGACTCACATGTCTGGCTCCCCCGGAGACGGAGAGACCCTGTTTTCCATCGTCTGTACTCCCAGTGCCTGGCACTCAGAAACATTTGTTGAACGTCTGGGGTGTGAGTGCACGTGCCCACTTGAGGTGAGCCTCTGGGCTTGCTGTCCTCATGTGTCTGGTCTCTGCCCCCTCCACCCGGTTTGCAGACCTGGACTTGGCTGTGCCAGAGACCGTCAGACTGGACAGCAGTTTACACAAGGCCCGGGCCCAACTACTGGCCAAGGGCCGGAGACACCGGCCCTCTCGCTCAAGGCTTCGGGACAGTGCCAGCTCTGCAGAGGATGGTGAAGGCTCCGATGGGCCCGGAGGCAAGGTTGGGGCAACCCAGGCAATCACACGTCCCCACCCACCCTTCCAGCCCCTGGATAAGCCCTCCAAACCGCTCTTTCAGGGAAACCACACCCCCAGATTTCTGACAATAATGCTCACAAATATTAGCCGCTTCACTTCTGGCTCATTTCATCCTTCCAAGGAAGGTATTATCATCCCCATCTTGCAGATGAGGAAACGGGCTCTGAGAGGTTCAGCAACAAAGTCACACAGTTAGTAAGTGAAGGAAGTGAGATTCAACCCCAGTCTATGTGACGGAAAGCCCGGCCACCCCTCGGCCCACAGGCACGGGAAACCCTCCTCCAGGCCCCAGAAGGACCCAGGAGTCCAGGCTGCCCGCCTCGGAGGCTCCCTCGCAGTGTACAGGGTGAAACCGGCTCCCAGCCGCTCCGGGAAGGGAGGAGGAGGGTTGGCGGTGAGCGGCTGACCCCTCCTCCAGGTGAACGACGGCTGCGGGAGCCCTCTGCACCGGCTGCGCTCGCCTTTGCACTCGGGCCCCGGGTCCCCGGCGGGGGGCTCTTTCTGCCTGGATCCTCCGGGGTTGCGGCGCAGCCTGGACGAGGACGAGCCGCCGCCCTCGCCGCTCACACGGTACCGGCCCCTGCACAACGCCGCCTCGCACGAGGGCCTGGCCGCCGCCTCCAGCTCGCCGCCGCGCTCCGCGCCCTCCTCGGACAGCTCACCCAGCTTCGTGCGCCGCCACCCGCGCGCAGAGCCACACAGCGAAGGTGAGCGGCGGCCGGCGCGGCGCCCCCTGCTGGTGCGCGCCGGGACCGCAGCGGCCCCTCCGGATCCCTCCGGTGGGCGCCGAGGGGCAGGGCTGGACCAAGAGGGACAGGGTGGCTTGGGGGGAGGTGGGGGATGGGAGTAATCACCGCGGCTCGTTCATTCATCTACTGAGCGCCTACTATGTGCCAGACACTCTTGGGCACTGGGACACACAAGTGAGCAAACAGATGTGGTCCTTGTCCTCATTGGGGCTTGTAGCTTCGCGGAGAAACAATCAAGTAATTCCTTACTTTTTAGGGGGGAAGCCATCAAATCATCCGTTAATTAAACGTGTAGTTACAAGCTGTAATCAGTGCTATGAGGGAAATGTGCATGATGGCGGGAGAGCATATATCAGGATGCAAGGACTCAGTTTGGGAGCACCCTGGAAGGCTTCTCTGAGGAAGTCCCATGTGAGCCAAGATTGGAAGGCTGGTTAGAAGTTGGTCAAGATAAAATTAACAGTAAATAGTAGTGGTCCCTACCTTTTCAGGTACCTTATACGGTTTGTATAAGGCTTTCATAAACATCCCATTAGGTCCTATGAAATAGTCAAGTGTCATTCCATATTTGAGATGAAGGAAGCTCAGAGAGGTAAAGTGACTTGTCCTAGGTCACACAGCTAGTGAAGGGCACCAGAGCCAGGTTGCCTGATTCTAAGCAAGAGAATTTCTACCACCTCACACTGTCAGCTGAAGGAGGCAGGCAAGCCACCATACAGGCTATTTCCTTCCCTCTCTTCCCCAAAAGATGACAGCCGGGATGCCAGTCCACCTGAGCCTGCCAGCCCCACCATTGGCCTGGATAAGAAGACCCGCCGAAAGTTCCTAGACCTGGGGTGAGTGGAGGAGGGGCCAGAACCAAAGACTTGGAGCTGTCGGGGTAAGGGGTAGCCCAGTGGGCATCACTGCCCCACTCCCCCCTGCCCTCCCCACAGGGTCACCTTACGCCGAGCATCCACGAGCAAGAGCCGGAAGGAGAAGGGTAGCAACCGCCTGTCCGTGGGCAGCAGGTAAGAGGCACCCACAGCACCTCAGCACAGCTTCTGCCCATTGCTCCCTGTGGGCCCCGGCCCTCCCCTCAGTGCCCACACCCATGCAGGGCGCTCTCTCCACAGGGAGTCAGTGGAGGGGTCCGGCAGGTCAGGGGGCTCCCCGTTCCTGCCCTTTTCCTGGTTCACAGACAGCGGCAAGGGCTCAGCATCTTCCGGCAGCACCACCTCCCCCGCCTGCTCCCCTAAACACGAGGGATTCAGCCCCAAGAAGTCAGCTTCCCAGGTGAGTCCATGGCCAACTCGCCCCCATACTGGCCCCCAGACTCAGGTGACATGAAGTCATACTTCACCTTGGCTCGGGCTGGGATCCAGGCAGGCGTTCCTGGCGTCCATTTGTCCATCCATGGAGCCAGTCAGTGATTCATTCATCCATCCATTCCCTGGGTTCATGCGTTCACTGGTTCACTCATTCATGTTCTGAGTAGTCGATTCATTCCCTGCTTCATCCATTCAACACACATCACTGCACACTGATTCCCCTGGTGTATACCCAGCCTGAGGTCTCCTCATTCCTGCTGACTATTCTGCCTGGCTCAGTTCTAACCCCATGTCCTGTCATAGGAGCTGGGCTACCTGTCTGCTGGGGTAAGCCTTGGGGGATATAGAGATGAATAAGACCCCAACCTAGTTAGGGCTCAGAAACCCTTGGGAGAAGTGAGACTGAGTAACAGAAGCAACAATGAGGATCTGCTTACCTTCACACAGCGCTCTACAGTTGACAAAGCTCCAAAGGTGCATTTTTGCTTTTCTCTCACGAAGGCTCAGTGAAGTGGGGAGGGCAGGCATGCTTACCCCCATTGCTCAGATGGGCAAATGAAGGCCCAGAGAGAAGGGACTTGCCTGTAGACTTGCATGGATTTACTTGCCAGGTTTTATGACCCCAAGCCCAGTGCTTGTTCTGTGGTTCTGTTCTTCATGTGCAGCTGGGGCAGAGGAGATCAGGAAGCTGGGAATTCAGGGGAGAAGTGGTCCCTTCTGATCTGAGACTTCTTTCCTTCCTCCCTCCTGGCATGCCCTCCCTTTCTTCCTTCCCTTTTGTGGGGATACCACAGTGAACAGACACAGCCCAGGCCCTCACAGAGCTCACAGTGCAGCGAGGATAAGGACCTCCAACTAGGCACTTACAAGCCAAGGTGCTAGAGGCCATGGTGGGGAGGTACAAGGTAGGGACACCTGACCCAGCCTGGGGGAATCCTGGTTGACTGCCTGTAGGAAGCAACACGTAGTCTGAGACCTCTTCCATTCCTGCTAACTATTCCACCTGGCTCAGTTCTAGCCCCACGTCCTCCCAGAGGCCTCAGATCCTGATGCCTCACACGAGTCACCACGTCATATGTGCCTGCCCAGCTCCTGGCTCATGCATAGGGTGCACTGAGCAACTCCTGGTGCCCAGTCCCGGACTTCATCTCCATCTGGTTGGAGGTGGTGGGTTGGGGAACTCCCTCGGGCTTGGGGGTGAGCTCTGTCCTCAGCGGCACGCTCTCCTACTGTCTAGGAATCCACCCTGAGTGATGACTCCACACCCCCCAGCAGCAGCCCCAAGATCCCCAGCGGTTCCCGGCAGGAGGCCAAGTGTTCCTACCCCTACCACACGCTGTCCCAATCTTCGGATGAGGTGAGCGAGCCCGGGCCTCTGACTCTGCCGGCTGTGCAGGCCACAGGCCACATCTTCCCCCTCACACTCCTTGGTCTCTGCCCCAGTTCCTGGATGAACCTCTCCCCGCCGTCCACCACTGGACCAGTCAGCAGGTGGGCCAGTGGCTGCACAGCCTCAACCTGGAGCAGTATGCCGCCGAGTTTGCCGCGCGGCAGGTGGACGGGCCGCAGCTACTGCAGCTGGATGGAAGCAAACTGAAGGTGGGTCAGAGCAGAAGGGCCACGCCCCAGGCTGGCAACCTTCAAGGACTGGGAGCCCCTCATCTGGACCTTTTCACTCCTTCTGGAGCCACTGCCCTGACCTCTGACCTTCAGGCAAGGTCCTCGGCCTAGTCTTTGCACTCTAGCACAGGTCCCCAGTCTGACTTGAAACTCGAGCCCAATTCTTTGGTTTGACCTTCAAGCTCCAGCCCAAGTCTCCAGGTTGACCTTGACCTCTAGGACTAGCATATTATCTGACTCCTGACTCTAATGAGTCTCCTGGTACGATGGGAAGCCAGGTCTCTCCCCTGATCGCCTTGTCTGATTTTCAGTCTTAGAAGCTGGTGGGGTGGGGGGGAGGTCAGGGGAGCCTCTAACAGCTGTCCTGGGAGGTTTCTGGTATTTCCTACCCTCTGCTGAGTTGCGGGGAAGGGGTGGTGACGAGAGTCCCCCAGGCAGTCTCTGGAGTGGGAGGGGCCTCTGCCACTGATTAGCTGTGTGACCTTGGGCAAGTTGCTCCCCATCTCTGGGCCTCAGGGGGTTGGGTAGGGTCACGCCAAGGCTGAAATCCTGAGTGGAGGAATGGAAGCCAAGATTGTGTGTATGTGGGGAGAGGGCAAAGGGCCTGCTACCTTCCACCCTGTCTCCCAACCACTCCCATTCCAAATTCTTGCCCTGATGGTCTGATCCATCGCAAGTGGGAGGTGGAGGGAGGTCACAGTTCAGGGAGGATGCGCAGAGCTCCAGAGAGAGAACACCTGGGGCACAAAGAACCGGGGATCAGGTTGGCTGGGGTGGTGGTTCCGGGCTCTTTCCCTTACCCTCAATTCCTCCCCCAGAGCCTGGGGCTCAGCAACTCGCATGACCGGGCGCTAGTGAAGCGGAAGTTGAAGGAGCTGGCAGCGGCCGCGGAGAAAGAGCGCAAGGCCCAGGAGAAGGCTGCGCGGCAGCGAGAGAAGCTCCGGCGCAGGGAGCAGGAGGCCAAGAAGAGCTAGGGGCGGGCGGGGCAGGCGCTGGCACCCAGGCACCCGGACTCGGGCGGCCGTGGGCTCCATGGGCACAGGCCTCACGGGGAGGCGGGGCCTGGGCGCCAAGCTTGGGCTGGCCTGGCCCCACGCTCTCAGGAGGTACACGCCCTCTCACCCTGTCACTCTGTCTGGACCCAGATCCCCCAGAAAGGGAGAGCCCAGGGAGAGGGCCCAGAAATAAATCCGATTTCAAGGACTTGTTTGGCAGAGTTCCTGGGGGAGGTGGCAGGTTATGGGAGGAGGGCCAAGAGGCCAGGGCTGAAGCAAGTCTGGAAACCCAGAGGCGCCTGGGTCAGTCTGACCCTCTGCCCTGGGGCCCTGGTGGTGCTGGGGCCAGCAGTGAGCTAGGATGCCTGCCTGCCTTCCAGAGGCCCTGAGACGGGGCCAGGGTCCCAGCTCAGAAGAAGCTGAGCATATCGGCAGTACATGGATACAGTTGTTCCTCTCCAGCTCTCCAAGGTGGCTGTGTGTTGGGAGAGCTCTGTTCTGCTCCCCAGGGAGGCTGGTGGGCACTGCAGCAAATTGCACTCAGGGTAGACTCCCAGTCTGCATTCCTCAACAGGAGAGTGGAGAAAGCAGCATGGTTATCTCATGCAATCCTTTAGAAGGGAGGGAGGATGGAAACCTCCTTTCTGGTCCTGTCTTCTGAGTCCCAGTGGTGAGATGACATCCATACAGGTGTGTCCCTCCTGGGGCCCCTTCAAGGTCTGGCCTTTGACCTGCTCTCCAGCCCAGGGCCCACTTCTCCTCTTGCTGCTCCCTCAGAGGGCACCTGAGCCTTCTGGGGACAGAGCAAACTTGGGAGCTGGTAGAGACAGAGGACACCCACTATCAATGCCTAGGTGGTACTGAATGGTGAATCCCCATGCCAGCCAGGCAGAGAGGCAAAAATCTAGGAGGTCCCCTGGAAGCTGCTAGATGGGAAGAGTTCATCAGCTCTGGCTCATCTGCCGTGGACCCGGTGGGGCCTCAGTGGGCTCCAGAACTGACAGGCAGTGCAGGCTCTGGTTCCCTGGGCCTCAAAGAGGGGTGAGGCCAGCCCGCCGGGTGGGGGCGGAATCTCTCCCAGCAGCCCACGGAGGGACAGCATCTGTCCCTGTAGGGAGGGGGTGTTCAGGTTACGGGCTGGCCAGCAGCTAGCCCAGCTTCTGGAGCACTGGCCAGAGCTACCGATGGGGCCAGGGGGCCTCTGCTTAGAAGTCCCCTTCCCCCTCCTCCCATCTGCCGGGAGCCGTGGACAGGACCCAATGCATGCTGATTCCCTTCATTCCTGCCCAGGGGTTGTAGCTTGAGGGCCACCCTGGTATGGCTAAGGCCCTGCTCCTGGGACTCAGCCCTTTACTCCTCTCCTATATGTGCTGGGAGAGGGGCTTCAGAGGGAAAGTGAGATATGGGGGCACTGGCACCACCTGAGCCTGGTGGGGATACCGTGGGAGGCTGGAAGGCACCCAGGACCTTGAAGCTGTCAGGGGCCACATGGGTGCCCACCTGCATGTGAAGGGGAGAGGTGGTACTCAATTTACTTCAATAAACACTAATGATGTACCAGTGACCTGTCTGCCTGCCCCACTTGGGGGGCTGGGCTGGGTCAGGAGGCTCTGCTGTGCCCAAAGTGTGGTTGGTGACACATCTGTCACCAGGTGCTGTGCTGTCAGGTGTTCTGACACCAATGGATGGCTTTGCCTGGTGGTGTACTCGTGGTACACACTGGACCATGTCCTGAGCTGGGTGGGTGTCCCAAGAGTGTCATACGTTGGGCACAGGGACTGCAGTCTGCATGCATTTGTATGTGTGGATCCCCCTCACCCCAGGAAAGCAGCCAGGCCGCAGTCTCATTCGCTCTCTTTACTGTGGATGTCACTGTCACCATCACAGCCACTCGGAGGAGCACACACTTTAACCCCCTGTGTGCTAAGGGGCAGGGGGGACATTCAGGGCTATAAAACTAGCTATGTACATAGAGCATTCTAGGGAGAGAGCCACCCACGCACACACGTGTCGGGCACAGTGGGAGTTGGGGTCCGGAGCTCAGGCGGACCGTGTGGGTGTGTGCACGTGAGGACATGCCAGAGAAGGGCAGGGGAGGTGGCAGAAACATTGCTGGGGCCACCTTAGGGGCTTCGAACCTCTGGGTCCTCCCAGGTTCCTCCACTTTAGGGGGGAGCCCCAGATGAGAACTCCCTCCCTCCCAACCTTGACCTTAAAGTTCAGAGTGGAGGGAGAGACTGCAGGACCAGGTCCCCAATGAGGGGTCCAAGGGTGCATCCCCTTTCCCACCCACTACCCCAGATCTGGGGGGGCACCCGGCCATTCCTAACACTGACCCCAGACCAGGGCCAGGGTGCCTGTGTGGGCTAGGGGACTAAGGCAAGCAGGGGGCGTCCACTTGGAAGGCCAGGGCTGTGGAGGGCAGTGAGGGGGACCCAGGACCCCTGGCAGAAAAGTGGCAGTCCTGGTCTCAGAGAGGAAACGTATCTCTGGGACACCCCATCAGGGTGGACACATCCCCCAATACTCAGGCATCGCCCAGAGACTGGACACCAGGGAGACCAGTTGGGGTCTCCATGGAGACAGAAATTGGCACTTAGGGGCCACCACAGATGGGTCACCGCCGTGATTTTCATAGAGACAGAAGCTGGTCATCGGGGGGTTGGGGAGGGTCACCGTGGCGTGGTGGCCGGTCCCAGAGACCGCAGTCCATGCTGTCAGGTGCAGATGAGTGGGGTGGCCCCTAGGTGACACGGTACGTGGACGTGTTCTTGGGCTCCGTGCTGGGCACACACCAGTCGCCGGCCTCCTGGATGGTCTGGTAGTGGCGCCAGGCGGACTTGTTGTACACAGGCAGACGCTCCACCGAGTCCGTGGACAGGGCCTGGAGAGCATCAGGGTCAGCCTCTCCTGCCTCCCTGCACCTTGCCCACTCCTCAGCAGACCACCCCTGCCCCAAGGTGGGCGGTGGTGGCCACTGATTGTGGCCACATGTCCCACCCCATGTCTGAGTCAGCCCAGCCAGGTGCCAGACGCTGGCTGAGACAAGTAACCTCTGCCCAGGAAGACCCAGGAAAGGGTCTGTCCCTCCCATATCTTGTTCCTCCCATTCAAGATGGCTGCTCACTCACAGGGTCAGGAGGGAGAGAGAGGAGCCGGGCAGTGTGACCTTGAACAAGGTTACCAACTCTGGGCCTCAGTCTCCCCCTGAGCTGAATGACAAGATCTCTGTGGTTCCCCTGCTTCCTTCTGGGTCTAACAAATCAAGGGTCCCCAGGAAAGGGGTCTTATTCACGGGCATGGACCCCCCGAAATTGCCTACCACGGTGGGAGTGTCTGGAGGGGGCGAAACTAGCTTTGCTCTGATTCTCCAAGTCTGGAATCAGGGAAGGACTGGAGGGATGGAAAGGAAACCTAACAGCAGGCCAGTCCTGCTGACCTGTCAGCAAACCCCTAGCCGGGATCTGCAGGCAGGGCCCTCACCTTGAGATAGATGACAGCGTCGGTCCCAAAGCCCTCCATGGAGAAGAGCTGCAGGTCCCCCTGGAAGTATTTGGCGTAGAGGCGGGAAATGGGGAGCCCGTACCCGAAGCCAGCCTGCAAGGGGGCAGGAAGGGGGGACACTGAGGAGGCTGGTGCTGGCCTCCTGGAGCTGCAGGGACCCATGTGCTAAGTGAGGAGTGCTGAGCTGGGGTTGTCAGGGGGATCCCCAGAACTGGGGTTGGGGGGGATGTGAGAAAGGGAAGGCTCTAAGGCAACATGGGGTGTGGGATGAGGGAGGAAGGCTGAGCAGGCACGGGGGTGGGGGTAGTAAGTGGGGCAGGGAGAGGAGCTCGACCCTGGTGGCCAGAGGGTCTGGGCAGGTCACCGGGCTCCTGAGAATCTCAATTTCCCAAACCCAGCCCTGCCTACTCCGCTGGGAATGGACAGGGAGGTGTTGGTAGGGTGAACAACTCCAGGAGAAAGGCAGTAAGTTTGGGAGGAGGGAGAGGGAGAACTGAGGAAAGGTGACAGACAGACACTCACAGATAGGTAGGTGGGTGCAGGCTGGGGAGAGACGGGAGGAGCAGGGAGGCCCAGACTCGGAAGAAGTGACATCACACACAGCCACACAAGAATGGAGAGACCGCAGGAGACAAGGAAGTGAGAGATGGGGAAGAGTGACAATTCGATGAGAAGAGATGAAAAGACACACAGGCATCCTTCAGGAGGTACGAGGGGGAATGGAGTGAAGCCATCTCACCAACGGGGTTCCCCCAGTGCCGAGCTGGGGGGTGGGTGCTGTGGAGTACATGTAGCTGAAGAGTCGCTCAATCTTCCTCAAGGGGACACCCCCTCCTCGGTCACTCATCTGGGGGAGATGGGACATGTCAGGGGCTCTCAGACCGCAGTTTTCCACACTCCCTCACCCCTTGACACCCCTGACCTTCTCAGGGTCTTCCCCATCCCCAGGGTCTTTCCCAAGCCCACTTCCTGGCAGAAGGGAAGTCCCCACCCCATTGCTCTCTGGCCCCCAAAGTCAAGGGTCACATACTTTGATGGACAGATCTTCCTCGCCCAAAGCCACCATGACTTTGATAGGTGGGAGAGTGAGGCTGGATTCGTGGCTTTCCACAGTGGCTCGCATGGCATTCTGTGGAGGGAAAGAGGTAAGAGATGAGAGAGAGAAGCCTAGCCGTAACGGCTCCCCGCCCCCCCACAAAGGGCCCTCTCTCAGCCTCCTCACCTTGAAGAGTTCAAAAAGCATGTGGTAGAGGTGGGAGGGGACATAGACCATGTGAATTGGCTGTTTTGAGTTGGATGCTGCCAGGGAAGTCAAGAGCAAAGATCAGGAAATGGTCAAGAGGTCACCACAATTTAACATTCATTCACACAGCTTCTAGCACCCAGCACTCTACTACCTATCTACTGTCCATCCATCTGCTCATCCATTCATCCAGCATTCGTTCATCCATCTATGACTCATTCATTCAGTGTCCATTCAACCATCTATCTATCCATATAGAATTCATCCATTATACAGTATCCATCTGTCCATCCATCCAGCATCCATTAATTCCTCTACATCCATCCAGTGTCCATTCAACCATCCAACTGTCCTTCAATCTATGCATCTGTTCAAACATCTATCCTTGCCATCTATCCATTCATTCATAGAGTACATCTCTCCAATGTCCATCCCATCCTTCCATTCATCCACCGTTTGTCTAAACTTATTC